TGAGCTCCTAACCACTGTGCTCAAAAAACATTATCAGGCCTGGTCAGAAGAAGAGGTCAGTAAATGGAAACTCTAATTTAATCATACTACAGCTGGGGTTGGGGTGTGTGTACTACAAAACATACGAGAAAACTGATTAGACCGATTTTTTTTCTTTGGTTTGGTTTGGTCGTTTTGAGACAGGGTTTCACCATGCAGTTCAGGTTGGCCTTGAACTCAATTTGTAACCTAGACTGGCCTTGAATTTTCAGTGTTCCTCCTGCCTCAGCCTCCAGAATGCTGGGATTACAGGTGTACCACTACCACGCAGGACTGAATTGAGTATTTTTATGGCAGTACCAAACATCAGACCCATATGCCTGTTCTTTCTCTTTTTGTGTGGTATGCAGCTGCTAGGAAAAAAGGTGCATGGATGCCGCTGTTGCCACCCTTCTCTTTTTTCCTGTAATTATGTCAGTTGAAACCAAAATTTAAAATCAAGAAATCCTTAATACTGCTGACTGAAATCTATAGAGGATCTTATGTTGTATTTAACAGTTCTTGATTGTTATTATTCTTTTTTTTTTTTTTTTTTTTTAAGACAGTGTCTTGTTATGTAGCCCAGGCTGGCCTTTACCTCGTGGCATCCCTCCTGCCTCAGCCTCCCATGTACTAGGGTTACAGGTGTGCCACCACCGTGCCCTGCTTAAAGGGCTTGAGATTGGTTTCTCAAGTTCCTGCAGACTTAATCTCACAGTGATTGGCTTCAGGGCTCTGTTAAAGGAGTAGGCTCCACACAGTAGGTCCAGCCAGTGATGTAGCACACTTTGTTGTAAATGAAAACAGCTCTGAAGGTGAATGTACCCATTTGCTGGGGCAGCTGTAAAAAGCTACCACAGACTGGTGGCTTAAATAGAAATATATTATCCCATAGTTCTGTGCCCTAGAGTGAGAAATCAGGTGGTCAGCAGGATTGCTTCCTTCTGTGGGCCACGTGAGAGTCTGTTCTGTGTTCCCATCAAGCTTCTTGTAACTTGCTGGTATCTTGGAGGTTTCTCAGCTTATAAAAGCTTCCCATGATCTGTGTCTTTGGATTCACACAGTGTGTTCCCTAGCTGTGTTTCTCCAAATTTCCCCTTCTTTTAAGGCAGCCATAAAGAATTATAAGCTACTAGTGACTTATTTTAACCTGATGATCTTTGAAAAGACTCTGTCTCTCAGGGTCACTTGGGATTAGCAGTTCAGCATAAGAATTTGGGAGTTGCAGTTTATTTAACCTTACACCATGCATGGACGACTGTGTCACATGCACCCTTTCTTTAGTGGGGCCACCGTCGCACCTGCACTGGCTGGAATGTACATAGTATGTCCAGTTTATCGGGTAAGCTCTGTGTGGTAGGGTACCGTTGCTGTCCAGAATACCATCATGATAATGACATCCTACACTGATGTGAAGGTGGAATTCCCCGTGTCAGCCCAAGCTGTTTCAGGCTTGTGGCCTGCAGCGGGGAAGCTGACACTGTTGGCCTCCTTGTTGGTCGTCTCAGGTTCAGCTTCTGCTGGGCTGGACCTTGTAAGGGAGGGCCTTAAGAGGAGAAAGCCAGTAAGTTGACAGCCCACAATTGTGTGGTTGTCTGGCAGATTCTTGCGGAGACCTCCTGCCCCATCCTGCAACTCTGCGTACAACTCTGAGATGCAGTGGGGCCTCGCCAGCAGTTGGCCCTGCTGTGGATTCCCATGCTCTGTGCGTTGTGCCCTCTGCTGGTTCTCTTTGTCATGCATTGAATGCTTTGGGAAGCTGTCTGAGGCATTCTTATACCCGTTATTTTTAGTAAGGTCTGACTAACTCATGGGAAGCAAAAAACCTTTGCTGTCAGTGGAGTATAGAGTCAGACTCTTTCATGAGTGCACTGTGGCCCAGCCACACATCTCACCTATGCGCATGAGTCATGTCCTAGTCTGGGACCATTTAACTGCAGGAAGTACTTGGCCAGCTCTTTACGTGGTTCCTTTGAAGTCTGTCTAGGGTGATGTGAGGGGAGCAGCAGCATTCTCTGTTGTCTCCATAGGCAGAGGTGGAGCAAAAACTGACCTTCCAGTAGCACACGCTGTTGGATCTTCATCGTCAGCTTATCGGACGCTACAGGAGATGAGTGGCTAAGACAAGCAGAGTCAAATAGGGCTCACACACATGGTCATGGTCTGTGTTGCTGATAACTCTGTGCAGTTAAATTTGCTGCTTCCTGAGGTACCAGTCACTACACAGCTAAGAGAGGGGTGAAGACCAGACTTGAGGTGGTTATCATATGTAGGGGAAAACAAATAACTGCTTAATTATATTGCAGAGCAAGGGAGTTGGGTCACCAGTAGTGCTAACTTTGAAGAGATCATCCTTGGTTTACAGTTTATACATTTAAACATGCTAAGAAAAAGTTTAATCAAACTTGTTTGGCATGTTTTATCAGTTTTAGAAATTCTAAGCCATTTAGTTATTTCTTAGCTCATCTGGATTTTCTTAGTGAAGGAATAATCTGTCACAGCTTCCCATTTTTGCCCATGTGGCTATATATACAATCTCTAACCAGCATCTGAGGCAGAGCGGGTAGATACCCTGTGTGTGTGCATTGAACCCAAAAGGAACATTGTGTTTTATTCTACAAGGATCATTCTGTTTAAAGGTAGGAGCTAAATGTTTCCTTGTTACAGTATTCAATTTTACCACAGCAGAATTCATTCAGTAGGGCTGGGGATTATACTCAGCAGCACAAGTGCCTGCTTGGCAAGTGTCAGTCATGAGTTCAGTCCCCGTACCGACAACAAAAAAATCAGCAGTTTAAATGTGATTATTTCAATGCTAAAATATTTTAAATCCTTCTAAAACACTCAGAATTTGACTTTTTTTTTTTTTTTTTTTTTTTTTTTGCCTTTTTGAGACAGGGTCTCACTATGCAGTTCAAGCTGGCCTTGGACTCACTTTGTAGCCCAGGCTGGTCTCAACTTGCAACAATCCTCCTGCCTCAGCCTCCCAAGTGCTGGGATTACAGGCATGAGCCACCACGCCCGGCAACACTCAGAATTTGAATAAAAGATTAAGTATGGTAGCTACTTGGATATAGTCTGTGTAATATAGTATCAAGGTACTAATTCCTTTGGCCCTTTTAAACTCAGTGGAAGAGACCACAATAGAGACCTAAAAGGGAATAGTGTTGGAATTTGAGTATAGTAAAAACTGATAGGCAGAGAAACAACCCTGTTACAACCTGGAATACCGTTAGGCCTTTCAAAAATAACAGCCAAGGTACACACCTGTAATTCCAGCTACTAGGAGGCTGAGGCAGGAGAATCCTGAGTTCCAGGCCAGCCTGGGCAACTTAGAGCCGTCTTAACATTTTTAAAAGGATTAGGGTTAGAGAGCTTGCCTAGAATGGGCAAGGCTCTGGATTCAATCCCCAATACAAGCAGTAGAGGGGAGGTCATGGAAAAGGGAGGAAGAGGAGAACAAAAGAAACTCAAAATAGTTGTGGAACACAGGACTATATTTGGTGCAATCACTTTTGGTGCTTGGCAGCAGCAGTGATGGGGAAGAGGAAGCAGCAGGTGGAGTGGTTACTTTTTTTTTTTTTTTTAACCTTTACTATTTTGAAAGACAGGGAACCAAAAACCTGAAAGAAAATTAACTATGAATAGTGGACTTTCGAAAAGACACTATATTGTTAATGTAGAAAGATTTAACCGATTGATTTGCAGGACAGGCTAAGTTGATAGCAACTGAGGTACACAAACAACTTAATCCTTGTATTTTGACTGACTTTGCAGGCCTAAGGCCAGTAGTCTTGTCTATTAAGAAGGTAACAATATGCATTATAGCAATATGGGAGATTTCCTTGTGTTGTTTTTTAAATCCAATATTGTTCTCACTGTTTTGTTTTCTTCCGTTTTACTGATTTCATTCAGTAAATTTTGTAAATTCAGTAAAACTGAATTTCATTCAGTTTTGATTGGTTTTATTTTATTGTTTGATTGTATCATGTCAGATGGTATGGGCAGCAATTTTGAAGACAATACGAGGCATTATGTGTGGCAGCCATTGCTGAGTTCCTATTATCCTGCTTTGAAGTTCTGTATCACTTTTGCTGTTTTGTTTTGATTGGCTTTATTCTGTTTTGATTTGGTTTGGTTTTATTCTCTTTAAAATAAAAGACTAGTAAAAAAGATTCACTTTTGGCCACATGACATATATCCTCCCCCACAAAAACAGAAACTTTTACTCAAATGAGAAAATAATTATTGTAATTGTTAATTTAAGGAGTGTTGACATGATAAATACCTATTCCTTTTATTGTGTACTTTATCACAGCAAAAAGTTCCATTTAATGTAGGAGCTGCTGTTTGAGTGTATATTTTAAATCCTCACTAATGATTCTTATAAATCTGGCCTTTGGATTTTTAGAGCTTTCAAAAAGCTCTTCCCACCATGGGGAATTATTACCAGTAAATTCTAGGACAGCATTTCATTTTCTAGTCCATGATGGGGGCAGTTTTATAAAGAGTAATTTATGATGCCTACATCCTACCGAGGAGGGGTCAAGGTTAGATTCAGTCAGCTCCAAATTGACTTCAGAGTCCTTGGAAGTAAGTGGCAGAGAAGCTTGAACTTTAAAGAGTCTTTCTAGGCTCATTAGTTTATTCATTCAATTAACAGATACTTGTTGAAAACACCTTAATATGTAAGACGTTCAGACACAGACGACTAAGATATTGCCCTTGCACTGAAGGAATTCAGTCTTCTAGATTTAATTTTTTTATATTTTCACAAAAATTCCTAACTTTATATAAATTTGGTCTAGTTTCTATTGAGTAACTCCCTGGTTTGATATATTTTATTGCAGTATAGTACAGAACCTCAGTGGGCTAAATTATCCTTCATAATGCTGTGTTAAACTCCCTCAAAGTCTCAGTACAGTGGAATCTTTTCCCCTAAATCATAGCCCCAGTTTTAATATTTCTTGACATTCTTGCAGAGACTGTGTCCTCCAACGGTACAAGCACATCCAATGTTAGCAACAGCACTGTGAAACCATCAACAACTACGGTTTCCTTGGTCTCAATCAACATGACAAGTGTCACCAGGAAGTCCACAGCGACTTCTAAAATGGCAACACCAGGAGTCTCAGCCAGTACAACTCCCGCCACCTCAAAGTCTACGCCCAAAGCCACAAGTATTTCACAAAACGTATCCCAGGTGTCAACTTCCGTGATGACCACAACCCACACCAGTTTGCTGACTTCGCCAACAAGTATGTATTAAAGTTATCTCTTAGGCATAAGCGCCTGCACGGCAAGGGCAGGGTGCTGGTTTGATCCCTGGTACCAAAAGGAAAAAAAAAGTGGACCTGGTTTCTGTGCTTTGGATAAATTGTAACTGCCACATGTAGATCATCTTTTCATTCTGTGAAAATCAGAAACATTTCTGTGCCTAAAGTTTCATCATCCTCACGCCAACATTCTTTCACAGAAATCCTCAGAAGTTTTAGTGTGTTAAAAAAAAAAAAATCACTAACACGAGTATTGTTGTTTTCTTCTGGTCACAGCAACTGTTCATTCTAAAGAAAGCAGAGGATCGAGATTCGACACTGGCAGCTTTGTTGGTGGCATTGTTTTGACACTGGGAATTCTATCTGTTCTGTATATTGGATGCAAAATGTATTACTCAAGAAGAGGCATTCGGTATAGAACCATGTAAGTTTTTCATGTTTTTTCCCCGTTATATAGATTATTAGTACATATTCACTTTACAGAGTAATTGAGTTTTACTGTGGCATTTCCACACCTGCGTCAGACAGACTTTGATCCTGTGCACCCCCCACCCCTCCTTTCCCTGATCCCTTTCCCTTCAGAGTCCCCCTTCATCTTTTCCCCCCTAGTTTCCACGTATTAGGGAACACATAGATATTGTCTGCATCTAACATATTTCACTTAACATACTGATCTACAGTTCGTCCATTTTCTTACAAAGGATATAATTTTATTCTTATGGCTGAATAACACTCCATTGTAAACACATTTTCCATTACTCCATTGCATATCCCACATTTTCTAGATGTGAGTCAGTACATACAAAAGAAAATCAGGCTTGTTAGTACCTTAAAAAGTTATTAATATATAAGAGAAATTTCAGAAATTTTCAATTCACTGAAGTAAACCTGAGTGAACATATTATAAATAAAAATGGACTCTAGATGTTTCTTATTAAGTTGATGTTTATTATTAAGTTGACATCTTATTTTCATATTAAAGTACTTACGTGATTAAAAAATGTTTATTCAAGTCTACTTTCAGCCTTCTGTAGTTTTTTCACATTCTAAAGTTTCCAAAATTGGGATGCATCTTATAGTCTGTTAGATGAGAAAGCAGTCTGTTGTGAATTTATTTTATTTTGTGTTTTTGAGATATAATCTCTCACTCTGCAGTTCAAGCTGGTCTTGAGCTTACTTTAGCCCAGGCTGGTCTCGAACTCACAATGGTCCTCCTGCCTCAGCCTCCCAAATCCTGGGATTACAGGTGTGTGCCACCATACCCAGCTACCATTGTAAATTTAATTGGCTTTATTATCTTAGTCCTGCATTCTTTTTAAACCCAGTAGTTTTCCAAAGCTATAAAAAAAAAAATAGGAGTACTTAATTGCCCCATTAAAGCAACTGGGATCATCAGTATTAAGGAGCACTTCTAGTTTTCATTTATGTGGGTAATACTGCTTAAAACTTCAGCTTCTGTTGTTTCTTGGATTTGCATGGGGAGAGACAGTGGAATGAATGGCTAAAGATGGGCCTTGAAACAGACAAACTTAAGTGTATATGCATGTATTTTAAAAATTAACACTTAACATAAGATCAACCTTCTTTAACAAAAATTTAAGTGTGTGTATTTACAGTGTTAGAAACATTATACCCACAGAATAGGAACTCGTTTTCTTGGCTTCCCAGTCCCAGACATAGTTTGAATATAGTTCTGCTGGTGACTAGCAGGGTGCTTTCCTAAGTTTATGTAAGTGAGGTGGTATAGTATGATTGTGTCCAGTTCACATTGCAGGCCTAGCTTCTCATTCTACAGAGTTCAACAGTGAACAAAAACGCCTTGCTACTGTGATGATTAAAGGAGATATGAATGTGAAGGGTTTCGTTTTTCTAAAGAGGTTGTAATAGCTTTGAAAGGGTTATGATTGCCCACTCAGGAAGATGTATGAGCATCTAAAACGATGAGAGATTGGAATGTGTCAGGTCAGTTTGATACCCTTAACCACTGGTTATACTAGACACTTAGCAAACTTACAGCAATGACTTTTTTTTTTTTTTTTTTTTGGTACTGCAGATCAAACTCACAACCTTGCGCTTGCCACAGAGGCGCTTATGCTGAGCTAAATCTCCAGCCCCGCCAATTATTTTTTATTGTGAAACCTGAAATTGTTCTAATGTTAGTTTCCTTGCAAATATTAATGTATTTGTTGTTTTAATACAAATATAAATTTTAACTTTTGATATATTTCAGTGATGAACATGATGCCATCATTTAAGGAAGCCCAAGAACCAAGGAAAGAAGATTGATGCAGCTCTATAATTTTGGTTTATTAGTTTAAAACAAAATTCTTTTCTTAAAATGGTATAAATGGGCCAGGTATATGATGCATGATATATTACATAAAAATGTGAAGATTCCTCATCATTACTAAATGTAAAAATGTCTTCAACATTTAAATGAATAGTTGGCGCTTACAAATAATTTATACAATGATTATATTCACATTTAGCAAATACAGTAAGAAGTCCTATCTTATGTTTTCTGTGGCATTGGTCACATAGGGCCAGTAATTGAAACATTGCTGAAGGGCAGGCAGGATGCCATCTCAATTAAGGAGCTCATTCTAGCACTCAGGATTTATTGTGTTTGTTGCTCATACAAAGAACTTCAGTGCTTTTCGGAGCTGGATCTAACCTAATTACAAATGCCACAAGTAAAAATTACAAAATAGAGTAAACGAAGTCTGAAGTATAATTTAATAAAGCTTCAACATTTTATATTTTAATGTATGGTATTTGGTCTAGAAACAGAATCTTCAAAATAAAACCTCAAGCAATACCTGTGCTTTGTCATTTTTAGAGACCCAATTGAGCATTAGAACATCTTGTATTTTTATTAATAACTTCTTTTAAAGTTTCAGTGTTAGTTGATATAATTTTGTTTCTTTATAATTTAGGTGGACTGCAATGTTAAAAATGTTTTAGGGGCTCAGATGTAAGACTGGCATTATAGGAAAAACTAGACATTAGGTTATTTGCTACTGTGAGAATATCACTAGAAATTGCGTTTATTTCCTATTCACGATAATTTTATATTTAAAGAAAGGTAGAGCTGCTTTCAGTATCTAGAAATTTTTAATGGAATATAAAAACACCTAACTTTAAAAAGAGATTTCCAAAACAATATTAGAATTCTGTCTTGTCAGAATTATAGATTTTGCTGTTTATTAAACCAGGGATTACGGGAGTCTCCCCCAAGCTGTTCTACCTGCAGGGTGAAAATGCTGCATTTCATACACTGTCAACTTAAGAGAACTAGGGAAATGACATTTTTATACTTTAGATAAATGTATATGAGTAAATTCTTTAGCCAGGACATTTCCTGCTTCCTTATGTTGGGCATCTATCTTATTCCATTGCTAAAGGGGAGCTACTTCCAGATGCACTATGTTAATGAAGAGAAGAAGCACAGTATTATACCAACACCAGTACTGGGGAGTATATTTTGGAGTGATTTTAGTTTTACAGTTTATATTCTAGAACTTAAACTCAGGGTCAAGTTTTAACAAAAGAGGCTTTCAGTCATTAAATACCAAGATATTTCTATCTTATAGGGCCAAAGTAAATTACACCAATTTTCATAAATCTAAAAATGACCTGAGGTCTCTTATCGAACATGTACTGGCCTGGGATATATAGCTCAACAGCATAAGCGCTTGCCTGGCAAAATGCAAGGTAATGAGTTTGATCCCTGGTACCAAAAAAAAAAAACCAAAAAACAAAAACCATGTACTGACACTTAATAAGAATAAAATATAACTGTGTGATCAGCTTTTGGTTTGCAGAGAATGCCAGATATCAAGTATTTTGTTATGAAAGGATCATTTCTATTTGCTGTGCGTTATGGACGACTGATGTGATAAGTATAGATGACATCCTTGTCTAGAATATGAATATGATCAAGTTTATGTAGCATATGCAATATGGAGGAAATTTCATGAAGCATATGTGATTAGCTTTGCTGGAGAAGAAATGTGGGCTGATGAGTAAGTTGTGTGCTAACTTGGCCTTAACTGGTTTTGTAACCACTGCTTTCATTTCTTTGTGAAATACAGTTAAAACAACTTTATAGTGATGAGGGCTTTTACCTTCTTTGTCTCTTGCATTCTTGGTATTTCAGTATCAGCCTGAAGTTTTTCTTAGGTACTGCTTCTTTAGCACTTTGCAGTTAGAAAACCACTTTTAAATTACTGTTATTGCCTTCAAAGTTTCCTATGGGGAAGGGGCTGGAAATAATATAGTGTATGTCTTTTCTCTGTATGTAAGTAGTATAATTTGTTGTTTGCAAATACTAGTACTTTGAATACAGTTTTTTTTTTTAATCTACAGAAATGGTAATGCAAAACTATATATTACTTTGGAAGATATTTCCTGAGCATAATTTGTCTTAGTATGCTTATGTAAAAGCAAGTAACCAGTTTTGTGTTTCTTCAGAAAGTATTTACTTGAAGATAAAAATCCAGATGTATGTCTAAATATCATGCAGAAGCCAATCTGATTTTTAAACATTCTTGGATAATCCGTAAAAGGAATAATCCAAATAAAAACAAGTGAGAGTTGTAATTACAGTGGTAATTCCGTATTTTCAGAAAAAAAGTTCCTCTTATCTTTTGTTTTTCTATTATAATAACCAGCTTTTGGTATTTCATTGTTACGGAGATCTATTTTTAAAATAAAATTTGTTCTTCGTTTAAGTGTTTGGTTTTCCTTTGTTAAATAACAGAAAAAAACCTAAGCTGACATGAGTTGGTTGCCTGCAGTGGGGAGGGAGCAGTAACACAGGTCAGCCCAGGCCCTCACACTGACCTCCAGCCCCATCCCTTTGTTTTGAGACAGGTCTTGCTGAGTTGCCCAGGCTTAGATTTGTAATCCTCCTGTCTCAGCCTCTCTACTTCAGTTTTTTATTGTGCTCTGAGGTCTAGGTGGAGTTCAACCAACCAGCAGGGTAGTTATGATCTACACCAGAGTTTAAGAACCACTGTTCAAGGGTTATCATGTGTCCCTGCCTTACTGTGGTGGAAGATTTTTGAAATAGATTATACCACTTCATAGATAAACTGGCTACAAATACATTAATGCATGCATTTTCAACTTTTCTTTATAACTAGATATAATGTGCAAGATTTTTAAAGTGATATTATATTAAGAAAATGCCCTATGTAATAAGTATCCTTCTATAGGTACACTAAAGTCAGACTGCTTGGGTTTAAATCTTCCTCAAGTACTTGCCTCTGTGGTCTTGAGTAAGTCAGTATTTGCCATGTGTACTTAACTTCATAGGGTTCACTGAAACCACTCGGGGAATTATTGACTCATGGTTATGCAGAAAGGGATGTCTAAGGGGCCAGCAGCTGGCAGGGGACTTGTGGGTTGTCACATGGCAGAATCCACAAGAACAGTATTACCCAGGGTGCATGCTGAAGAACAATAAGCTCCCCTGGTTGACACAGCCTCCCGTGTTCACAGCCAGGACCTGTGGCTGGATGATGAGACTCAAAGCTGACCTGCAGTTAGAAGCTGGGATCTGGGCAGAAGAGGTGGTCACTACAGGCATGACCGGAAGGGTTGTCCCCTCCCCAGCTTCTCCCTTTACTTGCCCTGTTTCCTTGGTTGTGTGAGCAGCCTCTGCCTCCCACTTCTCTGATGTGCCTTCCTGCTTCGGAACCAGCAGACTATACACTGAAATGTGATACCAAATAAATTTCTTAAAAACAAAACAAACAAAAAAACAGTATTAGACCATGAATTGAGAGCAGATCCTTCATGAGTTCAGACACCTCTGCAAGGTCCTGTTTCCCAATACAAATTTCAGCGTGCTTTGGAGCTGTGATCATGTCCACTTGGGCCTATGCTTCAGGCTTTGGATCCATAGTCCATCATTACTGCCACTGTCAACAAAATGAGCCTGCAAGTGGAGCCCAGTGCCAAGGGTCTCCTAACCCACGGCTCCCCCAGTGAGAAAGGAGGACCCTAGCAGCCAAAACTATCAAAAAGCCCTTGCACACTGACAGGGTGCCTGCAGTGCTTTCAAAACTGACCTCAGCTGACAAAGCTACACAGAGACTAGGCTGCAACACCGCATCCCACCCAGCCTTGCATCTCAGGTAGGAAAGTCTTTTGCCTCCAAACTAGCCTATAAAAGGTCTGCAAGAGGTGACTGCTTCACTAAGTAACACAGAAGTCAACATAAGATAACAGCATTAAAAATCATAGAGACATGTATTGATCAGTCTTCACATCAGTGGACAATAATACCTATAATTTAGAGGAGAGGCTTCATTTAGCTAAGTTTTAGAGGTTTTAGTTTATGGCTGTAAAGTAGAAACCTAATGGCAGAAGAGTATGGTGGATGGAAGCTGTTTAGTTCACAGCAGCCAGGAAGCAGAGCAGAGGAAGAGCACCAGAGAGGAAAGGGCCGGAGATGAGGTAAGAGTACACACCGTTACCCATGATACCCCAGAATGTGCTTTCCTCATCCCCTAAGCAGTTTCTAAACCACTCACACTGACAATCCAGCTTAATGGTCGCAGCATAGGAGCATCAAACAAACAATTCCAGTAACTAACCCCAAGAGATTGCTGGATCACAGAGCACCTATGTTTTAATTTTTTGAGACACCTTCCTACTGTTTTCACTTTTTTTTTTCTTTTTGGCACCAGGATCAAACTTACTACCTCACGTCAGGCAAGCACTTAAACCACTGAGCTAAACCTATACATTGTGCAAATATTTTCTTTATAGCCATACCAAAAGTGTACTGTTTATCTCTGATAACCATTCGTTATGGTTTGTGTCTGGATCCCCCCACTCCAAGCCTCATGCAGTCATGGGGGTAGGCTTCTAGTTTGTGAACTCATGATCCAGTGCTGGGGTTCTGGTGTGAGTGCTACACCCAAGTGGGTGTAGCCTACATACAATATAAGGGAAAGTCTTCTCTGTGTGTTTTTGCCCTTCTTGCTTTGGTATCGGCCACCTCCATGAACTGTTGCCCTCTGCCATGAGCTACCTTGTCTTGGAGCTAGCTAAATATGGCTTGACGCCTTCACAATCTGTAAGCTAAATAAACATTTTCTTCCTTCACTTTGGGTGTCAGTATTTTGTCTCAGCAACAAGAAAAAAGTAATGCATCATTCTAAACAAGTATAAGGTGGTATCCATACTGTTTTAATTTCTGTTTCTCTGTTGATCGGGTACACTGAACATTTTTAAAATGTACCTACTGACCATTTTATGTTTTCTTTAGGAAAACATGACAGTTCAAAATTACCATTTTAAGGAAATTCTGCAAGTGTGGGGAAAACAATTCAAAAATCAGGAAAACAAATGACATGAAAAATTTTAACAGAAACTGAAATTTTCAAATTTCTGGAACTGAAGTATGAAAAGAACATGTGTTAACTTTACAGAAAAAAAAAGTTGAGATGACCAGCTTATAAGAAGAAAAGCCTTTTGGCTCACAGCATTGGTGCTTTCATTCGTGATTTGTTGTGTTGCTTTTGGACTTGTGACAAGACATGAACTGTAATATAAGCATAGATGCAGGAAGCTGCTTACCTATGGAAACGATGGAAAGGAGACACAGGATGGGGCCGGGACACCAGTGCCTCTTCAGGGGCACACCCCAATACTCGGACTTCCTCCCACTACGCCCCACCACCTAAAGATTCCATCACATTCCAAAAGCATGAGCTGAGGACCAAGCCTTAATGTGTGTCCTTCTGGGGGCACTCATCCAAAAGCATAGCAGCATGACCACAGGAGAATTAATTATCCCGAATAAAGAACATGTGAACTTAAAAAGGTTTAAAAAGTTTTCCCTTAGTATCCACTGGAAAATGGTTCTAGGACACCTCTCGTATACCAAAATCTGATCAAGGGCAGATGATCAAATCCTTCATATAAATATGCATTGTATTTATAATCTATACAATTGTCCTGTTCAAATCATTTCTAATTACTTACTATACTTAATACAATGAAAATGTTAGGCAGTAGTTATGCAATTATTTTTATACTATAACAACATGAAAAACTGTACATTAAGTACAGTTTTTTCAAATGTTTATAGTCTGCAGATGTGGAAGGCCAACGTCTGCATGTACCATGGGAAGAAAAAAAGTGGAAAAAAATTCTGCAGAATTCATGAGAGCATTAGAAGAGGTAAAAAAATTGCATTATGACACTCAAAGAAGAAAAAGTTTAAAAGAAATACTAGCTAAAAACTATACCCAATCTGCACAAAGACAGATATATATAGGTACAGAAGATCAAAATTACACATCAGATTCAACCCAAGTGAGATACTAATAAAACTGTCAAACACAGGATGCTGAAAGCCTCACGCAGCAGCATTTCACATATTTTGCTCTGTTGCCAGTGAGCCAAGGATTTTTAACTTGGATGAACATCACAAATTTCGCATGTTCCCAGATGGGATACTAGGAGGTCCCCCAAACAGAAAACAGGGATCCCAGCTTGCCTCACACATTGTTTGTTGATTTTAATCACAAAGGATTTCAGGCAGTGTCAAGAAAAAAAAAAAAAAGAGTCAATGAAATACACATGCAGATTAGAAAAGAATAAATAAGAAAGAGGCTTTAGTGTAAGGGGCTAAAGGAGGCACAGCTCTGGTGATCGGACTGTTATAGTAACAAAAGAGGAAGCCTAGTTTCATGGCCTCCCTGGAGTCGGCTGGGGGTTGGTGTTCTTCCATTAGATTGAGTTTTCATGTTTTAGGAGGTTTCCTATTGCATATGGATTATAGGAGTCATCCTTACCCCTGGAGACATCCTGGAGCCCCGCCTTAAGGATTACAATATACCCGGTTCTTGTGTAAGAGTACATGATGGGGGTGGGGTACGTTTCAGACATTGTTAGTAAGGAAGATAGAGAAAAAACTATTTTCATCCTTAGTGGGTTAACAGGTCATGGATAAAAGCCTGAGAAATTTCGTGTTTCCTGTCCCATGAGGGTATCTGTCCTCTCATTATAGTTTCTCAGCAGAAACCTTATGAGCCAGAAGAGCTGGATGATATACTCTGAAAAGGGGGACAGGCTGCCAAACAAAATATTTTAACTGGCAAAGCTGTGCTTCAGAAATGGAAAGACTCCAAAAAAAAGAAAATAAAAGAAAAGCTCCTGGCATGTATCACTACTAAACCTGCCTAGTAAGACAGGAGGCAGGTTCTTCAGGCCAAGAGAAAGGGACTAGGAATGTGGAAATACATACATACAAAATTCATTTTGTAAAAGCAACTAGTCCAGTTGGGCATGGTGGTTGGTGCAAGCCTGTAATGCCAGCTCTCGGAGCCTGACACAGGAAGACTCTAAATTCGAACTCAGCCTGTGTGAATTAGTCCCAGACTCAAAGTCAAAAAAAGACTGAAGATGTAGCTCAAGTTTGAAGGTCTTGGGTTTCATCTCCAGTATCTTATAAAAAAATAAAAGTACATACTCAAGTTAATATTTGAATACTTTTAGTTGTGTAAATCACCTATCTTTAGTATGAATGTTAAAAGACAAAACTTAAAAAATGATAGCTATGCTAATTTGTTAAGTTGTGATATAAAATAAATGGGTATCAAAAATAAATGGAGAGGCTAGAAATTCAGCTCAGTGATACTGTGCCTGCCTGGCAAGTCTGGAGTTTGATTCCTGGTACAAACCAACTAATCAACCAACTAACCAACTGGAG